GAATATCTCAGTAACTTTATCTTTATATTCACTAGAACTTTTGTGGAAACTGCCAAGGCAGTGTCCCTGGGCTGAAAAGCAACAAAGGTGAAGAAGGAGGCACAGTTGAGCCTGGAAAGTATGACTCTGCAGCCCGGAAGGTGAGAAGGCTGTCTGGGTGTTCATGGGCCCCGCAGCTTTCGCAGGGGGCATTCTCTCAGTTCTGTTACTCTTCTGTCCTCTAGGGTGACATAGGGCCACGGGGTCCTCCAGGAATCCCAGGCAGAGAGGGACCAAAGGTAGGGAAGTCTCTCCTCTACTCTCCATTGTGGAGCCCTCAATTCAGTGTGAAAAAAAGGAGCCCCATTTTAAAATATACTACTTTTAAAATATATATATTTTGGAAAAGTATTGTAAAAACCATTTTAAAATGTTGTCATTTATTTCTTCTGTGACGCTTCTCAAATTACATGCCCCAAATATCTTCAAAAGAGATTTTTTTCATTGTTTTAAAAGATAACAAAATGATTGGGTACTTGCTGAATTTATTGCCTTTTTAGGGAAGCAAAGGAGAGCGGGGCTACCCTGGGATACCTGGGGAGAAAGGCGATGAGGTAAAAGATTCTTCTCTGATAATGTAATCCTACTACTGATTCTCTTTACGTGAAGCAACAGAGAACAGACATCAATTTTTCTGTAATTCATATTTGATACCAATAAAAACAAAGACTAGGTAGGTCTTTTAAAATGTTAACACTTTAAATGATAATATGTTCATGTTTATTACCAGTGGTCCAGTTTTTTGAGACAAGGAAATTAAGGCACAAAATTAATATGTCAGTAATGGTTCTTTTGTTTTCCCGTAGCAGACAACAATTCCTACTCTCTCAAAATAAAAGGAAGGAGAAAGAGGAAGGGGAAATTTACTGAAAAGAATCCTGACATAGCTTAGAGAGTTAAAGAAATTGTTGAACAACCAGCCTAGAAATAAATAAGCTCTCCAGNTTAACTGCCTAGATTCAAGAGGTAAGCTTCAGAGAAAATTGAGAAGGTAATAACAAAAATATCAGGAAGTAATGGGAATTCAGGTTTTTTATAAGTGATTCTAAGTTAAATTCACTAGAAGTTAATTTTTATTGATTCTACAGTGTACTTTGCTCTCTGGGCGAAGTGAAATCCATTGTTAATATGCCTCCACTATTTTAGTGTGCTCTTTTTTAGGTACACCTTTTGGATTCTTTAACACAGAATACACAAAGTTTTGCACAGAACATTTATTATGGGGAGTTCCAGCAAGTTTAAGAGATTCTTTTCCATTGTTTCTTCACATCACAGAAGTAATATGAATAATTTTAAAGTAGCAAACAGGCTCAGTTGGGCCTTTGGGGGAGGTCTAGGGGAGTGCAGCTTTTCTCTCTGACAGATGGGAAATAATGACTATAATCTTGTCTTCTACTTGGACTCAGATACTGAAATTACAATTCATTGATTTATTCAAGTGAATAAAACTTTGACCAAGAACATATGCATTTACAACTGGCCAGTAAACTATACTGTTTTGATATATGTGATATCTAATCTTACCAAATCTCAAATGTCTATTCCACTCTTAGTGTAAAAGATACAGAGGGACACCCCAAGTCGCTCTGAGGACTTCTAATTATTATGTCTTCAATTTAATCTGTTTGGGAACTTTGAGAGAGGAGTCGCCTGTTTGTTTATTGCTTTTAGAATGGTAACGTTATCTTCCATGTTTTTCACAGATGTTGCACAGCTCAAGGTAGCAACTTGTGAGATGCTAATAGAACAGACTTGCCTCTCCTAATCAGAGTGAATTGTGGCTTGAAATGCAGCTCTTTCTAAAATCTTTCAGGATAATAATTTAAAATTGAACATGAAAAATACTGTTGGCCATAGTTATTGCAACAGAAAAGTAAATATTCTTGGTAGCTAGGACTGGAAAAATCAAACTATCAGAGCAGGGAAAGAACTTGGCTCTAATGATCGCTGAATACCTATGCAATAAATTTTAATTTGTATTTTAGTTTGGCTCTATATGCTAAATTGACTGTCCTACTCTTTAACATGTATTTGTCTTCTCTAATGACCATCTTGTCTTCTAGAATTATCATATTGCCCTTTATGCATCCATACTAACTTTTACCCTTACTACAAAATTTCAGCTTGTTCAGAGAAAGACTGCTGAGAATGATTTTTTTATTTATGGACTGAGGTTTATTTTAAAGTTTAATGTGGTCATCAAAGGTTAATGAGTCCCAAGCTTGTAAATTAGACTACCTAAAAACTCACTCAGCATCTCTAGACTGATTCAGTATTGAGATTAAAAGTAGCAAAAAAGGAATATATATGTAGATGCATATCTTATATATATACATGTAGATATTTACATGAAAAAGTGGACATTTTGAGATAAAGGAATTTATGGTATAACATATATAATCTCCAATCATTTAGAGGTGCTGTGCTCAAAAGAAATTTTTTTCTTTGCATTTATAAGCTTGTAAGCAAGTTAATGACAAGGGAATAAAAAGAGCCAATACAACATACTTATATTTACAACCTACATGTCATGCACATGCGTACACACACACATGCACACATGCACACACACACACACATTACCAATGAGATTGATATAATCTTAAGGAAAGAATATGTCCACATTCTTTAACACAAGCATACAAGATTTTGCCCAAGACCTATTACATGAGAAATTTCAGCATGTTCAAGGAGGTTCTTTTCAGTGTATTATGTGAACAGACCTGAAGTAGCATACAAGTATGCCTCCATCATGGACAGGCCTTGCAGAACTTGGTCCTTGATCTCATTGATGCAAAGAACCTTGACCCAGCTCACAATCCTGTAGAACTCTTATAAATCAATATGCAGTAATTTTACCATGGTCACTTCATCTAGTGTTTATAATATGTGTAGAAATGCATATTCATAACAGTAAAAGGTAAAGGAATTTTACTGTAACAAAGAATGTTTATAAAAAGCCATACTTGCTCAGTAAAGGAGATTTAATCCTGAAAGAGTGGAACCATTCAATCTATAACTTGATGCATCTCAAGGTTACCTGAAATCATAAAAGTGTATTAAAAAAATTTTTTTCTGGTTATAGAAGTGATCGAAGTTCATTACAGAAAATTTGAGATATACCCAAAAGCACTAAAAATATTAAAAGTTATCCCTATTTCCACTCCTGAAGAAGGACTTCTGGTAATAGTATTATTATTGTCCACAACCCTCATTCACAATTCCAAAACCTAAAAGCTCTGAAAACCCTGGAAATTTTTCCCAAGTTTGCAGTAAATTCATTTGGCAGAAAAATCTGACCCAAATTCACATGGAGCTAGTCTGTTTATCCCACTCTGTCAGAATATTATACATTTTGCTACAAAGATATCTGTGTTTATCAGAGGGTGCTACTTTAGGCCTCAGTGGGATTTTTACATAACATTCAGTATGTGTGTTGGGTTACTTCCGTAAAAAACCTGAAGATCCAGAATTCTAAAGCACATCTACCACTAAAGTTTCCAGATAAAACATTTATCTACTTGTCATGATCAAATAATAAAAATCTCTATTTATCTTTGCCACCTTTTAGGAAGTGCACTTATAATTGTTTAAAAATGTAGACCCAATGCTATGTAGCATTTTGTGACTTTTATTTTTCCATGTTACCTGATAGTTTTCTAAAACATGATTTTAATAGTTGCAAAATATTTTACGTTAAAGATTTAATGTAATTTATTTAACTAATTTTTTTTGTTGGCACACTTGATAAAGGAACAAAATTAATTACACAGGTTACCAGTTGATCTTGCCAATTCTTTCTCAATATATAAATATATAAGCATCTTAAATCCTATCCAGTATAATTAGCATTATTTTACAAACTCAAAGAGGGGAAGATGGGGAGACCTATTCATTTTTATGCTCAAGCCATAAAAGGGTTCCAAATTTAAATTCACCCATGAGTTAAATTTCTTCATATAATGAACTGACCAGTTAAACTAAATATTCTATCCTAAAACATAATCCATTTTTTCGCTAGCTGAATGAAGCTGAAATACGTAATATAAAATTATATATTTCTTTGATACCATTTTGTAATCCAAAATTTGTACTTCTGTGGTTTAGCAGTACAGGATTCTCAGATACTACTGCTGATGGAGTGGCTCTGTAAGATCAGAAATGCTCCATGAATCACCAAACAGATTAGATTATGTTTGTTACAGATTCCATGTCATGGCATTTTAGCTCACCATCCTTACTCTTTGAAAATGGATATTTGTATATGACATACATTATGTTACTCAGTTAAAATATGTTTAATTTTCAATAATCAAAATATTTGATTAAGTAAAATGCCTCGTTCCAAATGATATAACAGATTTTATGATAGGAACTATCTCTTCTAGGGTCTTGAAGGAATTCCAGGCACTCCAGGTGCTCCAGGCCCTATTGGACCCCCTGTAAGTATTTGTTAAAACTATTCTGCTCACGGTTCATTTCTGCTGAGATGATGCAAGGTGAATTAATATTCCTAATTGCCTTTTGTTCACTGTGCCTCAGTGTAGATTGTCCAGCCATCGCCTAGAAAAGCAGCCTCATCCAATGCCTCAAATTTTCATTTAGTATTATTTAAGCCTGCTCAGTGTCATCAGAATTCTACCAGAGCAGAAAGCACTCTGTGATGATGCTAGACTGTTTGAAACAGAAATTGTATGTAAAAGATCATTCTATTTTTTAGTTATAATATTTTTGCAGTGATAAGATATTCAGATAGCACCACACACTGAGAATTTATTTTCTAGAGGGAAAAAAAATAGGCAAAGGATTATCGGGTTTAATTTATATGTATTCCTATATATGAATTAAAATACTTCCTACTTTAAGGGACACATCCTCCCCTGGGGAATTTCTGTCTTGGCTGAGAGGCTGCTTGGCCAAGTTGAGCAGCTGTGCATCCCAGGGCTGAGATGACATAGTAACTCATGTCCCAGGGAAACAGAGCAGTGGCTGAGCTGAGGCACCCTGCCCTAAGAGCTGAACAACTCTATACTCTGCTTCCCCGAAGCTGGATTATTCCCCTAGAGACTGAGCTGCTGAGACACCCCTTCTCCCAGGGAGTAGAGTTGGCACTGTTTTACTCCCTGCCCCCCAAGGACCAATTGACAGCTGTGTCCCAGCCTACTAGGTGCTTGCTGCCACTGCACCTGGCCTCAGAGAGAATGAGATATTACTGAGTCCAAACATTCCAGGGGTTAGAGGCACCACTACAAGGTGCCTTAACACCAGGAACTGAGTGACAACTGAATCCCATTTGCTCTGGTTCCCAAATTTCAGCCATGATCTTCTCCCTGGGCCCAAACCTCCAAAGCACTTCTTCTCTCCCAGAGACAAGCCATTACTGTGCTCAGCCCTGCAGGTTCAGAGTCACACCTATAACCCAGTCCACAGAGCCAAGCTGCCAGGGAGGCCTCAGAGCCACATATCTTGGCACTGACAGCAATTGCCATCCAACCCTGCCAAAGGTTCCCAGGACAGGATCCTGGCTCCACAGCCACTCCAAGCACCTGCACCTGGAACCCGGCACCACTGTAGCTGCTTTTAGTTCAGGTCATACCTAACATGAAGAGGACAAAGTCCTCTATGTCCCCTGACAAAATGGCCCCATTGTGGGAAAAACAAGAATAGGAGGAACATGAAAGTCCTTGCCACTGAAGACATTAACAGCCTATGCCACTGCAACTGTTGCCACAAACTTCTACAGCCTAGGGCACTGAGGCACCCACAGTTAGTGGCAATGTTGGTTGCCGCTGAAGAATTGCCCATATACTTAACCACTGCATCTACATGGAAACAGAATCACCGCACTCTTTTTAGCCAGCACACTATGACCCAACTGCAGGTGAAAGATTCTGTCTATGAAAGCCATCTGTAAAGTTTGGAAAAGGCGATTGTTTCACCAAATGCACAGACATCAACACGAAGACACAAGAAACATGAAAAAGCAGGAAATATGACACCACCAAAGGCAAAAAAAAAATACACCAGTGATAGAACCCAAAGAAAAGGAAATCAATGAACTTCTGGAAAAGGAATTCAAAATAATGATCTAAAAAAAAACTCAATGAGATGCAAGAAATACAGATAGACAATGCAACCATATCAGAAAAACAATTCATGACATGAATGAGAAATTTAACAAAGAGATATCATACAAAAATAAACAAATAGAAATCTTGCAGCTGAAGAATTCAATAAATGACATAAAAAATACAATAGAGAGCTTCAGCAGCAAATTAGACCAAGCAAAAGAAAGAATCTCTGAACTTAAAGACAAAACATTTGAAATTACCCAATCAGAGAGAAAAAAAAAAAAAAAAGAAAGAAGAATTTTAAAAAGTGAAGAAAGCCTACAAGAATTATGGGACACTGTTAAGTGAACAAATAATCAAATTATGAGTGTTCTCAAAGAGAAGGAAAAAGACAAACCTGTTTAATAAAATAAGGGCTGAAAACTTTTCAAGTTGTGGGAGAGATATAGACTTATAGATCCAGGAAAATCAAAGGTCCCCAAATATATTCTACCCCAAAAGATCCTCTCTTAGGCACATTAGAGTCAAAATGTCAAAGGTCAAAGACAAAGAGAGAATTCTAAAAACAGCAAGAGAAAAGTGTCAGGTCACGTACAAGGAAATCTCCATTAGACTAAGCAGATTTCTCAGAAAAAAACTTTACAGGACAGGAGACAATGAGATGATATATTCAAGGTGCTGAAAGAAAAAAAAATGCCATCCAAGAATACTGTATCCAGCAAAGCTATCCTTCAGGAAAGAAGGAGAAAAAAATTCTTTCACAGACAAGTAAAAACTGAAGGAATTCATCACCAGTAGACCATCCTTACAAGAAATGCTCAAGGGAGTCCTATATCTGAAAGTGAAAGGAAGATAACTACCATGGAGAAAACATGCAAAAGGATAAAATTCTCTGGTAAAACAGGTACATAAATGGGGGGAGGGGGAAGGAATCAGACCTTATCACTACCAGAAAATACCAAACAGCAATGGTAAACAGTAAGACAGGAAGAAAGGAGCAAAAGATACACAAAACAATCAGAAAACCATGAACAAAATGTCAGGAATAAGTCCTTACCGATCAATAATAACCTTGAATGTAAATGGACTAAACCCCTCAATAAAAAGATATAGATTGGCTGAATGGATTAAAAAAACAAGATCCAACTATATGCTACCTTCAAGAAACTCACTTCACCTGTAGAGACACACATATATTACTAAAGGACACCCATTTTCTCTACTCTTATTCATCATAGTACTGGAAGTCCTAGCCAGAAAAATTAGGCAAGAGAAAGAAATAAAGGACATCCAAATTGGAAAAGAGGAACTCAGATTGTCCCTCTTTGAAGATGGCGTGATCTTGTACATAGAAAAATCTAAAACTCCATCAAAAAAGCTTTTAGAGGGGGAAAAGGAGAAATTGGTAAAGGGACATGAAGATCAACTACATTATATATTGATAAATTAAAATTTAAATAAATAAATAAATCCAGGGTCCATGCCCTGGCTTCAGAGGCAAAAAATAAATAAATAAAAATAAATAATACATTTAATTAATTAATAATTTAATTAATTAAATAAATTTTTTAAAGCTTTTGGAACTGATAAACAAATTCAGTAACATTGCAAGATACAAAATCAACATATAAAAGTCAGTAGCATTTCTACACACCAATAATGAGCAAGATGAAAAAGAAATCAAGAAAGGAATCCCATTTATAACAGTTACCAAAAAAATTAAACACCTAGAAATTAGTTTAACCAAGGAGGTGAAATATCTCTCAAAGTAAAACTATGAAACATTGATGAAAGAAATTGAAGAGGACCCAAAGAAATGGAAAGACATTCCATGTTCTTGGATTGGAAGAATTAATATTGTGAAAATGACCATACTCCCAAAAATGATTTACAGACTTAATGCAATCCCTATCAAAATTCCAATGACATTCTTCACAGAAATAGAAAAACAATCCTAAAATTCATATGGAACTACAAAACACCCCAAACAGCCCAAGAAATCCTAAGCAAAAAGAACAAAACAGGGACCATCATGCTATCAGACTTCAAAATATACTACAAAGCTTAGGAACCAAAACGGCATGGTACTGGCATTAAAAGAGACACATAGACAAATGGAACAGCATAGAGAACCCCAAAATAAAACCATGCATTTATAGCCAACTGATTTTCAACAAAGGCACCAAAAATATTCATTTGGGAAAGGACAGTCTCTTCAATAAATGGTGATGGGAAAACTGGATAGCCATATGGAGAAGAAAAACTAGACCCCAATCTCTCACTGTATATAAAAATCAACTTAAAGTGAATTAAAGACTTCAATGTAACACCTGAAATCATGAAACTGCTAGAAGAAAACACAGGGGAAACTCTTCAGGATATTGGGCTGAGCAAAGACTTTATGACGAGAATCTCAAATGCATAAACAACAAAAGCAAAAAATAGACAAATAGGATTATATAAAACTGAAAAGCTTCCATACAGCAAAGAAAGCAATCAACAGAGTGAAGAGACAACCTGCAGAATGGGAGAAAATATTTGCAAACTGTGCAACTGACAATACATTAACAGCCAGAATGTACAAGGAACTGAAATAGCAAGAAAACAAATAATCTGATCAGAAAGGGGCAAATAAGCCAAATGGACATTTCTCAAAAGAAGATATACAAGTGACCAACAAGTATATGAAAAAAATGCTCAACATTACTAATCAGCAGATAAATGCAAATCAAAACCACAATGAGATATCATCTTACTTAGACTAGCTACTATCAAAAAGACAGAAAATAAGAAATGCTGGCAAGGATGCAGAGAAAGCGGAACTCTTATACACTGTTGGTGGGAATGTAAATTAGTAAACCCATTATGGAAAACATTATGGATGTTCCTCAGAAAACTACAAATAGAATTACTATGATCCAGCAATCCATTATGGATGTTCCTCAGAAAACTACAAATAGAATTACTATGATCCAGCAATCCCAGGACTGGGTATATATCCAAAGAAAAGGAAATCGGTATATCAAAGAGATATTTGCACTTCCGTGTTTATTGCAGCACTGTTCACAATAGCCAGGATATGGAATCAACACAAGTGTACCAGGACTGGGTATATATCCAAAGAAAAGGAAATCGGTATATCAAAGAGATATTTGCACTTCTGTGTTTATTGCAGCACTGTTCACAATAGCCAGGATATGGAATCAACACAAGTGTACATCAACAGATGAATGCATAAAGAAAATGTGGTACATATATGCAATGGAATACTATTCAGCTATNAGTCTGATCAGAAAGGGGCAAATAAGCCAAATGGACATTTCTCAAAAGAAGATATACAAGTGACCAACAAGTATATGAAAAAAATGCTCAACATTACTAATCAGCAGATAAATGCAAATCAAAACCACAATGAGATATCATCTTACTTAGACTAGCTACTATCAAAAAGACAGAAAATAAGAAATGCTGGCAAGGATGCAGAGAAAGGGGAACTCTTATACACTGTTGGTGGGAATGTAAATTAGTAAACCCATTATGGAAAACATTATGGATGTTCCTCAGAAAACTACAAATAGAATTACTATGATCCAGCAATCCCAGGACTGGGTATATATCCAAAGAAAAGGAAATCGGTATATCAAAGAGATATTTGCACTTCCGTGTTTATTGCAGCACTGTTCACAATAGCCAGGATATGGAATCAACACAAGTGTACAACAGATGAATGCATAAAGAAAATGTGGTACATATATGCAATGGAATACTATTCAGCTATAAAAAAGAATGAAATCCTATCATTTGCAGCAACATGGATGAGCTTGGAAGACATTACATTAAGTGAAGTAAGCCAGAAACAGAAAGAGAAATACCACATTTTCACTCACATGGAAGCTAAGAAAGCGGGTCACATAGAGAATAGAATGGCAGTTACCAGAGGCTGGAAAGGGCAGCAGGGAAGGGAGATAGTGAGAGGTTGGTTAGTGGATACAGAATTATAGCTAGATAGCAGGAATAGTATCTAGTGTTCTATAGTAGTGTAAGGTGACTACAACTAACAACAATTTATTGTATAGTCTCAGTTAGCTTGAAGAGAGGATTTTGGATGTTTTCAGCACAAAGAAGTGAGAAATATGTGAGGTACTGAAAAAAAAATCAGTGGTTGGCAGGATTTCAGAGGATGAAGGAGGGATGAATAGATGGAGCACGGAGGATTTTAGGGAAGCAAAACTATTCTGTATGAGACTGTAATGGTTAGTACATGACGTTACCCATTAGGCAAAACCCATAGAACTGTTCAATACAAAGATGGAAACCTAATATAGAATTAAGTTAATAATAATATATCAATATTGATTCATAATTGTAACAAATGTACCACACTAATGTAGCATGTCAATAATAAGAGAAACTGTGTATGTGGGTGTGGGGGAGGGTATGGCAACTATCTGTACTTTCTACTCAATTTCTTTGTAAAACTAAAACTGCTATAAAATAATAAATAAATAAATAACCCTCTATTTTAGTCAAGGCTTTCACTGCTCCTCACATACACCGTCTAGGCCTTTGTGTCTTTGATCATACTGTGTTCATAGGACAGAATCTCTTTTGCTTTCCACTTGCCAAATCCAATTTCTCATTCAAGCAGAGTTTAATTCTAGGGTTGCCAGATAAAATACAGAATGCACCATTAAATTTGAATTTCAAATAACCAAGAAATATTTTAATATAAGCATTTCCCAAATATTGCATTATAGAAATACTTAAATGGAATTTAAGATAATAAAAAATAGCAAATGTACTGAGTGCTACCAAATATTGCATGAGACACACTTTATATTAAAAAACTATTCATTGTTTACCTGAAATTCAAATTTAACTGGTCATCCTGTGTTTTAATTTGCTAAATTGAAGCCATCAAATTCCTTTCCTTCCATTTCCTTTTTTCAAAGGTTAATTAATTATCTGCCCTGTGTTATTGATCTTCCTCCTTACTTCCCTTTCTGCTTCATTCTGTATATTCCTTCCTTTTTACTTTCCAGCATGCTCAGGTCATCCCTAATGTGTTATTAAGGATCCCAATTCTTCACCCCTCTGTGAACTCATGCCCTTTGCCATGTCACTTTGCAATTTCTCTAAAGAGGTGAACTCTATTTCCCTACCCCTTGAATATGGGCTTGGCCATATAAACTGCCTTAGTCAATAGAATGAGGTAGAAGTGCCATTGTGTCAGTTTGTAGTCTACATCTCAAGAAGCCTTGTGTTTGTTTGTCCTCTT